GGGTAGACCCTGCTGCCCATCTCCTGGTTTGTTTCTCTCTGTCGCCTCTAACAATACCCACGCCATGATAAAGAGTAATTATTTTTAATTAGATAATGGTGACAAGCTAGCACACAGTCCACCAGATGGTAAGTGGTTGCATTAGAATCTACATCTACTCGTTGGAATATGAGATGCTTTGTCAGCCGTGAGGACTAAGATGTAAAGCATCTTTTCCAGTGAAAAGGGTCTCCGGTTCTCTACACTCACCATACGAAACACAGCAGCATTAATTAAGCTACCATTTTACGCTGGTATTCTGTGAGAGCGTGGTCCTTCCCCGGTCGAAGCGACCCATTCGTGCTACAATTATACAATTAATATAGCTCCAACATGGTTCTACCGTGTAATAAATATCACGTAAGTTATCCTTACATCGCCTCTACACGGTATACTGTAACTTAATATTATGTTGTAATTCTGTCAAAAAGATCCTTGCTGAGTATAAGTTGACCCATTTCAATGCTATCACAAATATGTTAATTATACGTTAAACAAAAGTTTGATAAAATTTTAGAAACTGCTGTTAATTGCTTCTTAACCGATTTTCGAAAGGTTTTTTTCAAACAAAGAAGGTTCATGTGATTGACGTCTTTATTATGTTGATAAAATAGTATTTCGAGTGTAGCTAATTCTGAAGACTTTCTTTTTAGACCATAATTGAGAATTGTCGAACATTATTTATTGGCTATTAGGACCAAATCTATGGATGAAACCCGATAAGATACTAGTATAGAGAAGCAGTAGCAGGAGGAAATTTGGATTAACTAGTCTAATCAATGTCATACAAGCTCTTAAGTGAAATAGGTTCCACACCATTTTAAGGCAAGCTAGCGGCGAGGGCAAACATCTGATAGGCTTGTCGAAGCCGTCAACCGTTTTTTTTTTCTTTAAATCTGCTTACAAAAAATATAAATTGGCCGTAAGGTGTCAAATAAATGTTACGTGGTAGATCCACGATGCAGCTATAGTATAATTGCAGCGCATGGGTCGGTCTCAATGTGAAAGAAAGGATCACGCTCTCAATGTTGCTGTGTTTCGTATCGTGATGGAAGAGAACTGGAGACCATTTTCACTTGTAACGAGATATTCTAATTTAGCCCTCAGGAACATCAACACATCCGTAATTACTCGTGATTTTTCTGACATTTCTTTTATTAAACATATTATGTTCCAATACTGTATTGCGTATTGAAACAGTCGAATAACTTTTTACACATAACAGAAATAGTTCTTTAATCTTTACTGATATCGGTTAAAACATAAATAAAAAAGTCAAAATAACCTATAAAATAATTTAATTATGCCTTTAAAATGCTTGAAGTGAACAGCAAAATCGATATAAAATGAACGAGGTTCACACCGCCTGTATAAAACCTAATTTCTTATAAAAGATAAGCTCCCACCTTTTAAGCTTCATGATGGGCGCATCACTATCCACTTTCTTACACCGCTTATATTTCCTAAAGAAATCCGCATCAACTTTGAAACGCTGATCGGAACTGTCGCGGGATACTGCGACTAAAGCCACAGGTTCACATTGACTTTGCGTCCGCGGGTAGAAAAACCATCGTTTTGAGCCAAGCCTGTCTCGTTTTAGGACCTCTTGTATTTGATCTTGTCTTTTCTTTGTTGCTAAGAACTTAATTGTGCTTTTCTTATGTTTGCTTGCTAAAATAACAGCATAAAATGAAAATAAAGCAACAATACAAAATAAAAATAACTATGTGTTTTATTTTTTACTCGTATTCGTCATTATTTATTTGACTATATACTATAATACGTAATAACTATAAATTTATTATGTACTCGGCTATGTACTTGTGTACTTGAATATGTAATAGATTCTTATTATTTACTTGATTTTGCACATGTCCATATCCAACCTATGTACTTGAATATGTAATTAACTAAACACATCAACACGGTATATGGATATTTTTGATAACATTGACCAACTAAAAAGTATTCGCCTCTTTAAGAGGTTTTTAATATCAAATTGTTCATCATATTTATTCCAGATGGATTCTACTTACTATGTAATTGAATATAAACTTGACTATGTACTGGACTATGTATTTGACTCAGACTATTTACTTGATTTTATATTATTTACTTGACTATGCACTTAATTATATACTTGAATATGTATTTCACTTTATATTTGACTTTTTACTTGACTGTGTGCTGGACTATGTATTTAGCTATGATTATTTACTTGACTATGTACTTGAATATGTATTTAACTAAACACATCAACACGGTATATGGATATTTTTAATAACATTGACCAACTAAAAAGTATTCGCCTCTTTAAGAGGTTTTTAATATCAAATTGTTCATCATATTTATTCCAGATGGATTCTAATTTTTAATTAAAAAAAATGTTGACGATAAAAAATGAATTAAATTAGAGGGGGCGAATTTTGTAGTCAGCGTATGTTACATCTTTTTTCGTTGAGAAGCGCTATTTAAACATATTTTTTTTTGGTTCAACTTGGGTTGATTGATGATATGTATGATAATTTGACATTTTATTGCAATGCAACGTGATTTATTTAACTAGAGAAGAGGTGATAAGAGTAGCGGGAATGCTACAAGCTGGTGCTTTCGCTGCGGCAATGCGTACGAGGCAAAATTTGATTTCGAGGTTGTGGTCACGCTATTGTGCCAACGTGGAGGTGGCGGAGAGACATCAGGACCAAGCCGTATTATCACACCCAGGAAAGGCCGTTTTTTGAAAATTGCTCTGAGAAAGCAACCAAATAATATGGCGATGCAAATGGTTCAAAGGTTACAGTTTGAATACCAGGTGCTTGTAAGTGACCAAACTGTAAGGAGGGGGTTTTTTTTGTTATATTGCACCGTTACTATACAATAAAATATACTGGCTTATTTATGCCGGTATACTTTATTATATAGAGTATATACTCTTTAACAAGAGAAAACTGTAATTTTACTTTTAAAACATGGTTACTGACTAAAGTATGATGAAAGTGAGGCTCTTATCAAAACAATATGATCCCCCCTGAACACACACGCACATACTCTCTCTCTCTCACACGCACACACACACACGCACACACACACACACACACACACACACACACACACACACACACACACACACACACACACACACACACACACACACACACACACACACACACACACACAACACACACAACACACACGCACCCACGCACACAGGCACGCCCGCACATACGCACGCACGCATTTACGCACGTATGCACTCACGCACGCATGCACATATCATCAATACATATATTCATAAATCAGACATCAATACATTCCTAATTAGTACATATATTACATGTGATTCTTTGGCCGGTGGTGGAGGTCTGGTGGCTGTCGCAAAGGGAATTCTTGTATTCTTCACCAGTCTCTACAACTGGCATTTGTAAGTTACTTAGTATTTAGATGTAATTATATTTTAAACTGCAATTTTGTAGAGAGAAATAAAGATTATTGATGATACTTGAGATATATTCCAAAGAAGTGCTCTGAGGGACTTTCCTGAAAATCTGGTTAGAGAAGAACAATTTTTTATGTATCTCAGTAGAACCTGGGACAATATTCCTCAACAGGATATTGACAACCTCAATCTGAGTATGCCCAATCGATGCAGATGCGTTATGAATATCATGGATGTTTTTCCTGATTATTAACACTTAATTAATAGCCACCCTTAAAAGGTATTTACTTTACTTAATTTTTTAATTTTAAAAATTTTACTTTCATAATGTTCAGTTTTTGCACTTGCGTTTTTTTTCTCTGCATTAAAATCTCAAACCTTATTTTATATAATAATATGATAAAAAGGTAGATTACTAATTAAGGGTCGATTGGTAGGCAAATCCATTGTTGGCCATAAATTACATTCAATTTAGGATAATTTCTAATAAAAGTAGAAGCCTTACTTACTTATATTTTCAAAAAAAAAAAAACGATATATCATTATTTATATATTTGAACTTATGTTTAAAAGTTTGCTACTCTGAAAAATAATTCTGTACCTTTACATGTCTTAAGATAATATTGACATACCTTTTGGAATTCATGTTTTGTTAAAATATCTCTCTATATTGTGTTGATGTGTTTATGTACTCCACTCTGTACTTGAATATGTACTTGACTATGTGCTGGACTATGATTATTTACATGATTTAACACATTATTATTGACTTAACTGTGTATCTGACTACGATTATTTACTTCATTTTATCATACTTTAAATAAGCATAACATGAATGTGAAAAGTAATTAAAATAAAATTACATACATTTCGAATGCTTTTCAGTATTTTGTTTACAATGACAGCAGTTGGTAAAATGAAAATATTATTATTGTTTAGCAAATCTGTTGTGGTCCAGGAATAAAAAATAATTCATCTACTCATAGAGGTCAAAGACCAACAAGAATATAAACATAACACTGGGTACATTTAAGCTACACTACGTCGAAACCGTTCTCAATTTTTTTATAAGAATTTATTCCCACTCATACATAATATGGACCTTAATTATTTGCAACCAGCATCGTGGTTTTAAGTGGCGTAGCTAGCATTAGGCTGTGGCGCTAAGAGCTGAGGGTGCAGGGAACAAGTATTTATATATATAATATATATATATATATATATATATATATATATATATATATATATATATATATATATATACTACTATAATATATAAACTTTCCTTTAGATGTACGTAATGATCTGTCTACATTGCTTTGTTGATTTAAGATTTATATATGAAAAGAAATTATTTCGTTTCTCGCACAAATTTTCAGTCCGGCTGTGAGTCAAATCGAGTCCATACTATTCCATCAGGTTTTCTAACCATGAAAACAAGTGAGAACTTAAATGCATCGTGGTTACTACTTACGGGTAAGATATAAAACTCGAAAAGCGTCAAACAATCCAGGCTCCTTAAGGGTCAATTCTCGCTGTCGACTGGAAGTCCGGCTGTGGTTGTGACTTTGAGACCGAGATCGGGACCGTGATCTTGACCTCGAACGCGAATGGGTACGCGAGCGTGAGCTGGAAGCGGTTTGGCTTTGAGACCGAGAACGCATGGTGTCTCCAGTTTTGTACGTTCGTTGCTTTGAGCGGTTTGGTCTGAAACGGACGTTATTATTTTATAAAACTATTTTAAAAAATGTAGATACTATTTATACCTTTTTATTTCTTAGCTTGTTATATTTCTGGTTCGCAATACGTCAAAACTTCAAAAGAAACTGATTCAGGAAGACAATTGATGCAAATATCTCGAATCGTGCTTTGTGACAATCTAATGCTGAGGCTTATATTCAGCAATTGAACTGTGACAAGCTGTCATTAATAAATTATTGAAGTTATTTGCTTAAAGTGACCACTGAACTTACAATTCACGAGATAATAATATTGATCTCTGCATCTTCCACTTCTATTCCCTATAGAGCAATAGCCATAGTATTCAAATAAAACTAGCTTCCTGTATCATTTAATCAGAATACAACAGTCAAGAATTATAACACATGCTAAATAAACTTGGGGTTCTTTCTATGCCTAGGTTGTTCAGATAGAATCTAGATACCAACCTAATTTCAGTTGTGTTCTTATATGAATATATCACATTTTTTAGACAATTATCCTTTTTAGACAATTAATTATCTGAACGGCATCTTTTTTGTACAGAAAAGCCATTACAGAAAAAATGTCCTGCCTTCAGATAAATAGTTGATATATTTATGATGAAATTCGGACGTCGTAGGAGGGAAGCAAACTAGAGGAAGACAGCAGCGCCTTCGAAATAACAATTGAAAATTAAAAACGTGGTTTCCGATCCAGCTCCAGAGTGTGGCAGTCATGGCAAATATCCCCTCTATATCCATGGGGAGGCCAATGTTCTGCAGTGGACTTTTGGTAGGCTGTAACTAATGATTGAATGAAAGCTATTTACATTATATATTTCACCTTACAGATACTGTAGTCTGATACCATCTGTTTCTGTATTACGAATTAGAATGACAACTTATAATTCCAAAAATGTTATATATCTCCGAGGTTAGTATACCGATTTTACTGTAACTTTAACTGTTTTTTCGCTTACATCATCCCTCATAAGTTTTTTCAGAGCCAGTCTAATGAACGACTTAGACCTGAGAGGTGGTTACTCATCTACAGCCTTCTTTAAAAAACAAAAAGGGGTGACAACGCATCTAGCGTTGTCACCCCTAAGCACTAAGATACGCATGCTAGTAAATATAGATCCGGTTTTCAACACTCAGCATGCGAAACATTGTAGCATTAAACTGCTATTGCATTCTAATATTCTGCGATAGTGTGATCCTTTCCCGGCCGAGCCAATCCATCCGTGCTCCAACCATATTATAGCTGCCGCATGGCTCTACGACGTACAAAAACTGACCATAAATTATTATGACTTCAGTTTTATATTTAAAAAGCGGTTTTCAATACTTGCATATTAATACACAGACATCCAAAAATTGCTTACAAGATAACATGATGTAAATATAAGTATATATTATATATATACCGTGTTAAGTCTCGAACTTCTTTCGATGTTCCCACTTCATATTCCCTTAATCCGTCTCCCTGATTGGCATATTCTCGTTTAGGTGGTAACATCTGAGAAAACTGAGCAGGGTACGGATAACCATATACATCCATTGTCTAAATTAAAATTGAATCAAATAATATATATAAAGATAGGATTGAATTTTTTTTATGAATTAAATAATGTTTTATTTTCTGTTTTGTAATTTGAAGCACTGACATTTTAAACTTTCGACATGATTTGACAGCCATTTGTCAGCTGAACTTGTAAGCGTTGATCAGAGATAGATTTAGTGTTGATCAGTAGATATAAAATATTCATGGAGGTTAAATAGAGTAATATGAGTGTCAATAGTTTTATCCCGTGGCTTTATCTCTAAATAATATATATAAAAGATATATATTTTATATTTCATCAAATATCTAAAAATTTATGTAGAATTTTCTGATATAGTAAATGAAATTAATTTTAAGGTCTTTAATAAAAAAATTAAAACCATTTAGTAATTTTTTTGTTTTAAATAGAATTTTTTTAATCGCCATAGAAAATTTGTGCGTTAAAAATCTTCATTAAATGAAGATTTTTTTATGATTTATTTATCTTTATTTATCATGATCTATATATAAATAATGTTATATTTTCTGTTTTGTAATTTGAAGCACAGATATTTTAAACTTTCGACGTGATTTGACAGCCATTTGTCAGCTGTATTTGAAGCGTTGATCAGAGATAGATTTAGTGTTGGTCAGTAGGTATAAAATGTTCATCATCATCATCATCATTACAGCCCTTCACAAGTCCACTGCTGAACATAGGCCTCCCCCAAGTAATGCCACAAAGCACGGTCCTGAGCCACCTGCATCCATCGACTTCCTGCATATCTTACCAGGTCGTCACTCCATCTAGTGGGGGGTCGCCCTACACTACGCCTACCGGTACGAGGCTGCCACTCGAGAACCTTTCTTCCCCATCGGTTATCGGTTCTTCGAGCTATATGGCCGGCCCATTGCCACTTCAGCTTACTAATCCGTTGGGCTATGTCGGTCACTCTGCTTCTACTGCGGATATCCTCATTTCTGAGTCTATCACGCAGAGAAACTCCGAGCATAGCCCTCTCCATAGCTCGCTGAGCGACCTTGAGCGTCCTCATACGGCCAGCAGTGAAGGACCACGTCTCTGATCCGTAAGTCATCACTGGCAACACGCACTGGTTGTACACTTTAGTTTTCAGAGATTGAGGTATACCTGACGAGAAGATGTGTCGTAATTTCCCGAACGCTGCCCAGCCGAGTTGAATCCGTCGATTGACCTCTCGGTCGAAGTTGGACTTACCTAGTCGGACTATTTGTCCCAGGTAAACGTACTCGTCAACAACTTCGAGCATAGTGCTCCCCACAACTACCGGCATAGGTGTGACATGGACATTGAACATAATCTTTGTTTTGTCCATGTTCGTCTTAAGACCTATCCGTTGGGAGACACCATTGAGGTCATTGAGCATAGTGCTAAGGTCCTCCAGCGATTCTGCCATAAGGTCGGTCTGCCATTTGATCGTCGACAAATCGAAGGTGAGTGATGTACTCGCCATTGATGTTAATACCGTATCCTTTCCAGTCCAGTAGCTTGAAAACGTCTTCCAAAGCAGCGGTGAAGAGTTTCGGGGATATAACGTCACCCTGTCTTACACCTCTCTGCAGTTGGATAGGTTTCGAGCTCTGGTTCTGTACTCGGATAGCCATCGTAGCCCTACTGTACAAACACTTCAGCACTTCGATATACCGACAGTCAACTTGGCACCGCTGAAGGGACTGCAGCACCGCCCAAATTTCGACGGAATCAAAGGCTTTCTTTCATAGTCCACATACGCCAGGCAAAGTGGCAAATTGTACTCGTCAGTCTTCTGTACAATCTGCCGCAGGGTATGTATGTGGTCTATGGTACTGAAGCCTTTTCGGAAACCGGCTTGTTCGGGAGGCTGGAAGTCGTCGAGTCTGCTTGCGAGACGATTCGTAATGACTCTCGAAAACAGCACGTAGACGCGGCTCAGAAGGGAAATCGGTCTGTAGTTCTTCAAGAGAGCGTTGTCGCCTTTCTTAAAGAACAAGACCACCGCACTTCTGCTCCACGCCTCTGGAGTAGTGCCACCATGGAGGACGGAATTGAAGAGCTTCTGAAGGACTTCAAGTACCGGTGTTCCACCCGCTTTCAGAAGCTCCGCTGTAATTCCATCCTCGCCCGGGGCCTTGCCGTTTTTAAGGTGTTGGAGAGCCATTCTAATCTCGCTCAGACTGACGTCCGGGATATCATCGGAATAGTGTCGGATAAGACTTGCTCTTGGATCGTTACTCACACTTGAGTGTGGCTCCAACGATGATGTGTACAGCTGCCCATAGAACCTCTCAATCTCACTCAGAATCTCAGGTGTCCCGGAAACGATGTTGCCACACTCAGTCTTCAGCCTTGACAGTTGGCTCTTTCTGGCAGACAGATCTCTGGCAAAGACTTTGGAGCCCTGGTTCCGCTCGATCGCTTCTTTAATACGAGAAGTATTAAAGTTGCGTAAGTCTCGCCGCATGCATTTGGAGATCTGTCTGTTCAGTTGCCTGTATGCTGTCAAATCTGTTGACGATTGCAGCCTCATCTCCCGTCTAACAGCCATGAGATTAAGAGTGTGATCGGAGAGTTTTTGTGTTCTTCTGCGGCGGGTCTTGCAGAACTTAGCTCCGACCGCATGGACAGTTTCCACGAGCTTGTCATTCATATCGTCCACTGCATTGCAATCTTGTAGGCACTGAAAGCGGTTGTGTAACTCGAGCTGAAAGTTTTCGGGATTCTGGATTAGAGCACGAGGGGGACGGAGCGTTGACTTCATTAGACGAGACCTCTCCAACTTAACGTTTAGGTTCAGTGTGCCTCTAACCATTCGGTGATCGCTGCCAGTTTTCACCCTTGCGATCACTGAGACATCACTGAACAGTTGGCGTCTGGTCGTCATAATGAAGTCAATCTCATTTTTTGTCGAACCGTCGGGGCTCGACCAGGTCCACTTCCTGTGGGGCCGCTTCTGGAAGAAAGAGTTCATCATAAAGAGTCCCTCTTTCTCCATAAAGTCGGCCAGCTGCTGGCCCCTTCGGTTCCGTTGCCCTATTCCAAATTTCCCTAACTTCAGCTCACCGTTTTCTCTGGTGCCTAGTTTTGCGTTGAAGTCTCCCATCAACACCGTGTAGTGGGTTTTGGAGGAATGCATGGCTTTGGAAATATCCTCATACATTTCCTCCACCTCCTCATCGGAATGTGCCGAGGTTGGTGCGTAAACCTGTATGACCTTCAGCGAATACCGTTTGGTGATTCTGAGTATCAGGTACGCGACCCTCGTCGACACACTCCCAATCTTTACAACGTTGTTGACGAGAGACTTGTGGACGATAAATCCGACACCTCCTTGGGACAGATGGTCGCCCTCCCGGTGATAGAACAAGTTGCCGGATTCGAGAATCACCGTGTCCTCCCCCTCTCTTCGGACCTCGGATAATCCTATAATACTCCAGCGCAACTTGTCTATCTCTTCTTCCAGCTCCAGGATCTTCTCGTCAGTCCTCAGTGTGCGTGCGTTAAATGTTGCCAGGTCGAGTCGTCGTAGGTGGCAACCGAACCTCCACCGGAGATTCTTAGCACCCCCCTGCCCCGCCGTTACCATGGTCGCCACCGTAGCCAGGAATAGCGGAGCCGCCGGGGACTGGGGGCCGTCTATTTGTGTAATTATTCATGGGGGGTATATTGCCATAGTTGCCACGCTTGGCGAGCGGGTTGGCAACCGCAGTTTTTTTTTTTTTTTTTTTTTTTTTTATCGTACAGTTGCTGTTATCAGGAAGATGCTGCTGCCCATCTCCTGCCTGTCATAAAATGTTCACTGAGGTTAAATGGAGTAATATGAGTGTCAATAGTTTCATCCCGTGGTATAACCGTAGAATACTATAATAATGTATATATTATAGCATTTAGATATTTTGTATTTCATCAAATATCCAAAAATCTATGTAGAATTTTCTGATATAATAAATGAAAGTAATTTTAAGGTCTTTAATAAAAAATAAAAACCATTTTGTATTTTTTTTTTGTTAATCGCCGTAATAAATTAGTGCGTTAAAAAAACTTCATTTCTTATTATAATACTATTAATTTTAATTAAAAAATTCTCATGTGTTGTCATGTCTTACATTAATTAGACATTGAAATTGATTATTCAGTTGCGGTATGAGGTCCCATGTTCTTTGCAAGTGTTCATAAAGTTGTTGTTCCGTCGTCAAATTTGGCGGGAAATCTCTTAAAGCTTTTTACTGTAACATGTTCAGGGATGCTTGATAGAATTAAAGTCTAAAATATCGTGGTCTCGGAAGGCGGCCGACACCAGCCGCGCCGTATGGGAAGGAGCACTATCGTGCATGAGTAGAAATTCCTGGCCCATTTAGATTCCGTGCGGGATAATAACAAACTATACTACCGCCTCGTTGTATTTTTGTGCAATCATACTGCCTTGGATCAAATCGAGCTGGGTTTGTCCGCCAAGACGAATTCCTGCCCACACCATGATTGTCCTGCCTTGGTATGAGTGGACCTCCTGAGGGTGCCGTAGACGGCTGACTCTCACTGGAGTTCTCCGAACGCGTGTTCTTCGTGAATCCGGATGAAACTCAAATCGGGACTCATCGGTGAACAGCAAAGACGTTCGTCACTCCGTGGTAAATACTCCTGATCTCACGAAAGCAGCCGATCGCGATTGCCACGTTCTCTTCGAGCATAAAAACCAACTTCATGCTTCATCCTTCGCACGGTTCGGTCGCTTACTAGCACCTGGTGGTTCTCTTGGAGCCTTTTTTAGAAGTTGCATCGCTGTGATATTAGGTTGTATTCTGGCGGTCATTTGGAGAAACATCAGTATGCAGCGATTACGTGACCACAAGCTTGATATCACGTTTTAGCTGGTGTGTAGAGCCTCAGCAATGACACGTTGAATAGTACCATTTTCTAACATGCCCACGGTTCGTAACATTTCATCCTGACTCAAATAACGACGTGACATGACTTTTAAAGCTCACACAGTGCGTTAAGTTAA